TGATATGGAGGGGGGGGATGATATGGAGGGGGGGGATGATATTACTTTTGCAGCACGGTATTTGCCTGGTTTAGGACCGACATCTGTTTCTTAATGCTGGCTCTCTCTTCAGTGACGTGCGGGGGCTCCCCCAGTAGACTATCCTGAAGATCCGCCTTGGAGAGGGAAGTATATAGCTCGTATTGGAGCGTTTCCTGGGTTCTTCTCACTAAGAAGTACCCGATAGTTTTTGGTATCGTATCCCTTATGTTCCGAAGCACAATGTTGAAATAAGCATTTAGTCTGCCTCTAATCTCGGCTAAGAATGTTGCAGAATATTGAGTTCTGCGCTCATTCCACAAGCAGTTGTTTACTGCTTGGACAGTTTGCTGCATCTGCGGTCCAAACCACGTAGTCTTGTTCTGGGTCGGTGGCTGCTGGTTTGGCACCGTATTGGGGTTCTGCGGCGCGTTGGCAGACAGTAACGATGCATGGACGCTCAAGTAGCTGTCATCATTGGTAAACATATACCCCATTTCGGCGTTGACGACATACTCAATTATCTGCTTTGTCTTGTCCTTCTCTTTTTCTAGGAGAGAGCGCGACAATTCCAGAACTTCGTTTCCGAGCGCAGGAAAGCGCGCAAACACGCGTGCGCTAAGTCGATCTAAAAGTTGGTCAAGAGCGCCAGCAACCTGGTCGAGGCATTCTAATACAGGATATTGCAGTTTCATGAGGTGAGGCAGGATTAGGAACTCAAAAGTATCCGGCGTCGGAAATCCGGGTAAGGAATCTCCTTCATGCATTCTGATGGCTTGATCTATATCCGCGTCCGTCATGTCGGCGGTTATGCCTTGTCCTCCGGTATAGTCATCTAGGAGGCTGGAGAATATGCCTCTAATGAAGGCGCCGCCGCACTGTACATTGGTGTCTTGGTCGACATAGTTGGCCAAGCGTTTGTCATATTTGCCCCGGATGGTATTGCTGAATACGTCGCAGTAGTCATTGATCATGCCCCAAACGAGTTGGGTTTTATCTGAGGCTTCAGTGGGCACGCCCTCTCCGAGTTCGCTGAGTCGCTGTTTGAGTTCGCGCAGTCTGGAGATGATCTCGGATTTTATTTGTGGCAGGAAGTTGCGTATATGTCTGTACAATATTTTGGTGAGTTTGTCAATGAGACTCCGCATACCGAAGAGCTGTGGTGGCATGTTTTTGTAGGCGGGGTGAGTCTTGAAGAACTTCAGTTCATCTTCTGCCGACGCCTTGACAGATTTTGCGCCTAAAATATCTGCCTGACTTCGGTTTTTGACCGCAATGTACCCGAGACGGAGTGGTACCTCTTCACCCATGATCATCCGCGCACCATTGGTCCCCTGGTCCATTAAATCCAGCTTGGTGATCACGCCAATTGTCCGAACTCCTCGGGGATCCACTCGTCGCGCGAGCTGCAGAGCGTCACTGGTACTGATGTCCTGGTTCGCCGGAATCACAGCCAGTATTATCGTCCGTGGGTCTTCCGCATACCGAGATGCCATCTCACGGGTTAAACGCTCGATATCGTCCGTCTGGTCGCTGTTCTTCAGTGGCACTCGCGTAATCCCTGGCAAATCCACCAACGTTAGGTCGGGACACTCCGGACCACAAATACGTAAGACAATCGGAATGTCCACGATACCCTTGTTCTTTCCCGCTATTTCGTCAGTTAGCCGCTCAATACGCCGCCGCACTTCTTCCATTTGGTAGATCTTCTCCTGTTTGTTATCCCCATCAAACACAGCATACGTCTTCTCTTCACCTGCACACACATATACTGATAACCAACCAACCAACCGTGACCAATTAAGTGACCAACTAGGTTACCATCCAACTCAGCAAGGACTGGGGGGGACGTACCGTTGTGGGAGTGAACTAGTCGCAACTCCAGCGGCCTTCGTGTAACCACGCCGTCTCCCCTGGGCAAAAAGTCCATGCCCACAATCCCCTCCAGCACACTTGACTTTCCCGCGGACTGTGTGCCCACCACTGCAATCCGAGGAAGCTCAATGTACTGCTGCAGCCCCACATCCCGAAGCTCGTCGACAACACTGATCAGCTTGCGCAAGTTTTGATACACGCCCACTGGCTCTTCCATAATTTCCACCCCTCTCCAAATTACCGCCGACCCAGCCCCACCCCAGCATAAAGTCTTCGAGTTGACCGAGGAGAGCGTGGAGTGCGACTTCCCCACAATTTCCCTACTGTGGTGTGAGGGGATATGGCGCTAGCTATTGGTTGGTGAATTGGAAAAAGTTCCCGGCCCGGCGAGCGCGAAGGTCGCTGGCTTCGTTGGCTCGACGCCAGTCGTCGTGGGGACGGCCGGCGGCGGCCGCAGACTTGGGTTGAGCGAGGCGGCGAGGTCGGACGGCGAGAGGGGGGATGGCAAAGAGGGCGAGGAGTGCAATGATGGAGCCGAGGACGAGGCCTCGGATCCAGCGCATGACTGCGGGGTGTAGTTGAGGGGAAGTCGTCGTGGCGTTGCTCGCGGCAACCGTGGGATGGGTTGCGGCGCTGCCTGGAGCACTCTTTTCTTCGGGGACGACCCGGACTCGGAAAGTTTTGCACACGTGTGTGCGCCCGCCCACACTGACTGTGAGAGCAGCGGTGACAGGACGTTGGGCGTTCACGCGCAGCCGATGCTGCCCGTCCTCGCTCACCAACGCCGCCACGCTGCTGTCAGAAGACAGATAATCCACTGGCAGTCCAGGCGGCCGCTCGATAACGCGCGCGTTCGTGTCAACCAGCGTCACTTCCAGCGCCAACCACACCGGCTCGGCACTCACCGGAACCGTCACCTCCTCCCCCACCACCTGCCCGTCCGGCAGACTCAGCACCAGCCCCGTCGGCGAACTCAGCAAGATCGTTACTGCGCGCTCTCGCCGGTGGTACGGGTGCCGCGGCAACGGCTGCAACAGCACACTGTGTCGAGTCGCCTCCATCGGCCCCGTCACCAATACTCCTGAATTGGTCGCCACTGGGCTAGCCCCCACTGAGGCAGCCACAGAGGTGGCCCCCACTGGGGTGCCAGGTAAGGAGGCGGAGGAGCCAGCCGCGTGGTTGGATTGTCTGGCGGCCTCGGCGGCAGCTTCGGCAGCGGCGAGGTCGTCGTTGGGGAGCACGGCTAGTTCTCGGACGGTGTGTTCTGCATCGCAGACTTCGGCGCCGGGTAGGACCTCGCTAGGGGCGCCGCCGAGGTCGCAGAGGAGACG